ATAAGGATAAGTCATTGATCGGTCCGCCAATTGGAGAGTTATCATAGTAGGCTTCACTTCTCCGATACCCAACCTTTTAAAAATGGACAAGGGCATCAAATTGATGCTCGCCCCAAGATCACACAATGCCTTGCTTACCATTAAATTTCCAATCTCACATGGAATGACAAAACTTCTTGGATCCTTCAATTTGGGAGGTAATTTTTGTTGAATGATTGCATTACACTCCTCTGTAAGCATTATGGTTTCATCCTCCTGTAGCTTCCTTTTTCTTGACAACAAGTCCTTCATGAATTTAGCATAGCTTGGCATTTGCTCCAATGCTTCAGCAAATGGGATATTAATGTGGAGTTTCTTAAAGACATCAAGAAATCTTGCAAATTGCTTCTCTTGTTCTTTCTTCTTCAACCTTTGAGGGAATGGAATAGTGGGAACATATTCTCTCATTTTACCCTTTTCACTCTCTTGACTTTTCTCTCCCTCATTCTCCTCTTCACAATTTTTTTGCTTTTTTTTTTCACTATCTATCACAATCTCCTCTCTTTGTTCTTTTCTCTCACTACCCATCTCACTCCTTTTCTCATTCTCTACCAATCTCCCACTCCTCAATTGAATTGCCTTACATTGTTCCTTTGGGTTGGTAATGGTGTCACTAGGAAATGTTCCAGGAGATCTCTCTGAGATATGTCGTGAAAGTTGACCAATTTGGTTCTCCAAATTTCTGATTGAAGCTTCCTGATTCTTGAAATTTGTCTTTGTCTCATTCATGAAATTAGAAGTTTGTTCCACAAATGTTGAGGTTTGCTCAGTTAACTTCTCTAAAGCTCTCTCAAAAGTAAACATCTTACCTTAGTTGTTAGATTGTGGTTGATATTGATATGGAAGCTTTGGCTGATTGGATTGATTCGATCCACTCCAAGGTTGGTTTGATGGGCTTCTCCAATTTGTATTGAAATGGTTAGCAAACTGATTCTGATGTTGGCCCATTGCATTCACCTGCACCTCTTGTTGAGTGACTTGACATTCACCATTTTGATGCATTCCTCCACAAAAATCACATGCTAAAGGTGTTGTCTTCACTGCTTTCACTTGCACATTATCAATCTTCTTAGTCAACTCGGTCATTTGTTGTGTTAACAACTTGTTTTGGGCTAGGATAGCATCCAAAGTGTTAACTTCTAACATTCCACCTTTTCTATTCTGACGATCAAACTGCATATTTCCTGTATTATTTGCCATTAACTCAAGAGTCTCCAGGGCTTCTGCCGGTGTCTTCAGATTGAATGCTCCTCCACTTACTGCATCCAACATTGCTCTAAAAGAGGGTACAAGACCATTATAAAATATCTGGACTTGTAACCAATCTAGTAAAGCATGATGTGGACATTTCCTCAATAGCTCCTTGTACCTCTCCCAAGCCTCGTACATAGATTCAGTCTCTTGCTGCACAAAAGTAGTGATTTCATTTCTCATTCTTGCTGACTTGGATGGAAGGAAGTATTTGGTTACAAATTTTGTAGCCATATCTTCCCATGTAGTGATGCTTCCTTGAGGTTGTGTTTGAAGCCAGCTTTTAGCTTTATCCCTTAATGAGAAAGGAAAAAGCCTCAAGCGGATTGCCTCACTTGAAACTCCATTAAGCTTCAAAGTATCACAGATGGCTAGAAAATTCTCTAGATGAGAATTAGGATCCTCTGCAACTGCACCTCCAAATTGATTTTGTTGGATGACTTGTAGCAATGCAGGCTTGATTTCAAAATTGTTGACTTGAATAGGTGGTCTCACAATGCTCCCTTGGTAATTATTCACGTCTGGCATAGAATAATCAAGAAGAGTTTTCCTCTCTGGTTGTTCCTCTGCCATTGTTGATACATGCTCTTCCTTTTTATTTGATGTCTCTACTTTTCCTTTTTGCTTCTTCTTTCTTGTCTCACTTCTATTATGTCTAGCAGTACGTTCAATTTCTGGGTCAAAAAGCAAACATTTTTTCTGCCACTGTACCTCGCATAAACAACTTAAAAAGAATGCAATATTCTAACAACAAAATTAACGTGACAACAGAAAAACAAACAAGATAATGAAAACAGAAAAACAAAATAACTAAAATAAAAACAGTTTTGACTACCTAAAAACTAACACTCAAATCTTAAGTGAATTAGATCACTAATATCAACAGAAAAATCAATCCCTGGCAACGGCGCCAAAAACTTGATGAACGTTTGGCAAGTGCACCAATCGTTAATGTAGTAATAAAATATCGTCCTCTGGGATTGAATTTGTTGAATACTAGATTCCTAATGTACGAAAGTTTGAGCAATTGAAAATTTGGATAAAATAACAAACATAGAATTATAATAAGAACTTTAGTCAAAATAAGATCTGTTAGAGAATTGATTTCATACCCTTTCCTATATAATTCCAGTCCTTTCAATTGATGCAAGAAATGTAATTATCCACTTGAGTTTACCTAGAGTTGTTTTACCCCTAATCCCTTAATAGGCAAAACTATTCATTGAATCTGAACCCCCAATCCCTTAGGTCAGTTACGCCATTCAATAGAATCATAAAAAAAACAATAATTTTCTCTATTGCAAACTAATTAGATATATGCCCAATTTCCCAATTGTGGCAAACCCTAACCTGTTATATTTAGGATCGCGAACAACCTCCAATCTCCCAATTGTGAAACTGCTCGTGGAATGAACTTGAAAATTATAAATAGAACACCGAGATAAAGAACATTAACTAAACATCAATTGTCAAGAACAAGAAAATATAATTCAGAGTACTATATCAATCATCTAACAACAGGGAAATCAGTTCTACATAATATAAAAATTCTCAAAAGATAATAACTAGAACGTAACAAATGGAGAATGGTTGCCCCCCCTCCTCTTTTCAGTTTCGTTCCACCTTCTTTATATGGTATCCCACGTTTTTCTCCACTTGTTGAGGTAGTTACCACTTCTCATAACCGTCTTGAATTTCCACATGTGTGGAAAAATCCACAACCCACCTGTGGGACTCTCTGACTTCAACTGTGCATTTTGAACCACAAATCCACAGGTTGTGGAACATTTCACAAGGTACCTGTGGAACTTGCTGATATGAAATCTTTCTATCTTGACACCAACTCCCTCCAAACTATGAATTCAAACTTCCAAACACCTATTTACAAGAACAATGCACAAACCAACATGTATGATCCAAAACAACGATAATACATGATGAAATCGTTCCCATAATACAACAACATATGAAATAAAACTAAATTAATGCATGAATATAATGATATTTTATCCACCCATTAATAGAAGAAGGGTTTTCACTAGGGTGTATGTAGAAAAGACTAAATCAGTTTTGGCTAGGATCATTAAAAGGATTAGAAGGAGGTGGGTCTGAGACATGATCACTATTAGGGGACTCTGCCATGGCAGCAGGAAGGGGATATCAGTAGAGCTCCATACCATAAAGGGAAAAAGGAAAGAGGTGCAAGACAAAGAAAAAAAAGATGTAATATTCTGTTGTATTGAATATCTCAATATGGGTAATATATATATATATATATATATATATATATATATATATATAAAAGATATATATATATATATATATATATATATAAAAGATATGACCTGGCTGATCATCAACAAGGACAACAAAAAAGACAAATAAAAAATTAAAGAAATATTGCTACGAAATATATCTAATACATTCTAAAATATACTGATATTTACAGCAAAGAAATTTAAGAGAATGCTGAAGAATGGAAAATAGATTGGGCCAATAGAGTATTGACGTTATTCTGTTTTATTATTATAAAGTAAATATTGTATTTAACTTTTTATTATAATATTTTCTGCAACATAAATAATAGTTGAATTTAGAAATTTTAAGTTAATCGAAATATTATTTTTTGCTATATTTAACATTATTTTAATTGAAAAATTGTCATTACTCTAATATTTATTCAATTGTTTGCTCTGAATGAGAAAGTAGTCGTAATATTTACGCATAATTTGGATCATGAATGGATTGACACGAATAGGTAGTGTGGAAGAAATGCAATGAAAGTTGCTTTTTCGTTGCATAATAATATGTTTCTCATTTTTCTCAAGAATTATTCTCTCGTGCAAAAAATTGTGAAGAAACTTAAAAAAAAATATTTCATGACATAAATTATGTTTTAAAAAAATATTTTTTAATTAATCAAATTAATTTTATATTTTACTATTTTTTATTTAAAAAAATTTCAATAATAAAAATAATTTTATTATTATTTTGTACACTCAATCCAAACAAAGGTTTAATCAGGATATTAATAAATAAAAATGATAAATTATGTCGTCTTCACACTATGATTTGAATCTAGGACGACTTTAATGGAAAACACATGTTTTCATTGATTCATTTATTATGTTAAGTTATTGAATTCAAAAAAATTAATGGTAGAATAAAAAGTAAATTTTTTATATATTAAAGTTTTTATGTTTATATATATATATATATATATATATATATATTAATTTGTTTTAGAAATATAAGTAAATTATTGTAATGTAAAAATAAATCATAGAATAATTAATAAAACTTTAAACTATAAATTTAATTAAAAATATATTTATTATTATAAATTTAATAAGTTTATATATATATATATATATATATATATATAGAAGAATACAGTATATATGTGGGGAGGGAAAAAAGACGGCCAATGACCAAATAATAAAGCGCGGATGAATATTGAAGTAAAAAAAAAAAAAAAGAGTAGGAGGCAAAAACAAAACAAAAGATCTTAAAATCCCGCTTCCTTAAGCCTCCGTTTTGAAACCCTGGTCTCGCCCCGCTCTCACCCTTTCCCGCCTCTCTCTCTCTCTCTCTCCATCCTTAAAATCCCTAATCTTCATCTCTCCATTACATTCTCTCTCCCTCTCTCTTTGATTCTCTCTATCTGCAATTTCTCTATCTTCTATTCTCACTTCTCAATCTGTATCGCCATGAACAGGAGAACCAGACCTAGCATCCCTAACTCCTTCCACAAGTACCTCAAACCCGGTGCCCTTGCTCGCATCCGCGACTCTCGCATCAGCGCCAGATCTCACCGCCTCAACGCCATCCTCCGCCACCAGATCTCCCTTCACCGTCCTCCCTCACCATCGCCGCTCCCTGCCGCCGATCAGCCTCAGGCCGCTACAGACGCCGCCTTCCCGTTCTTTGTCGCCAGGATCTGCGGTCCGCGCTGCCCGCAGCGGAAGAAACTCATGGCCGCAAAGTCCGTCCTCTTCCTCCCCGTCTCTCCCGCCGCTGACTCGCCCGATCTCGTCATCGACACCTTAGGCTCCGATCTTCTCGTCGCAAATTGAGCTAAAAAATCTATGCGATTCTTCTATTGTAGGATGTAGAGCGGTTTACATGTGCAGATGTAGCACTGTTGTTTAATTCTGTGCAAAAGCAAAAAAAAAAAACTTACTCAGATAGGCCTGAAATTAATAAAGCGAAATCAATTTTCCTATTGCATGCCTATTTCTTCAGTTTATTTATGTTCCGTTACTAATTTTCCTGTTGTTACGACTTCGTTTGAATGCAATTTGATATATAGAAATAGCTATCTCCAGTTTCACTATGTAGATCCTCGTTTAGGATGTGTGATAATATTGACGCATTGACTTGGTTTTGACATTAATATCTTCCTGTTTGATTAATTGGGTTGGAACTTAGGGTTTATTGGTGTTATATTGCTTGATTAGTGTTTGTGTTTACTACGGTGAATTAATGATAGCTTTATTATTCTGTTTCAACTTGTAGTTATTGTTCTGTTTCAAAGGCATTACTTTGTCAAACCAATATGTGATTTTATTGGTTTTACTTGTATCACTGTAATTTGTATGCCTATAATGCTGGCAAGAAAGTGATGTGCATGATTTTTTTGCTTCCACATTTTGGAGGTCTTATTAATCTGTTTTCTTACTCTGTGTTGTATTTCTGTCCTTGTTAAATTCTTTCCATTCATGCTGTTATCTGGCACCCACATTTGTTTTAGTAAGTTAAATTGATGAAAACATCAACTGTTCCTGTAGATTCCTAAACGATTGTTTGAGATTTGGAGCATGTCCTGGTGTGGGCATTTTGCCAATTTGGTAAGTAAAATTTTATGGCAAGGTAATTGTTAAACTACCCTGATATTGTTCAAGGATGCTGGGTGTCATTCATTGCGGACTTCTGAAATAGTTTGTTTGTTTTACTCATCAAATCATGTTCAGTTAGCTTTGCATTCTGGTAGTTTTAGTTAGGATGGGGCAAGGGAAGGGACAAATTGCTACGAATACGAGTAACTTCACATACATAATTTGGCCAGTCTAAAGTTCATGTTTGTACAACTGGTTAAACTGTCTTCTGAATGTCTGTGATCTTTTGCTGCAGCATAGCATCATAGGGATGCATGGATCCCATTCCTGCATTACATGTTTTTCAGCTTTCAATAAAATGTGGCTTATCATGAGTTTGTGACACTTAATTGCGATCCGGTAGTATATTCTGTTCTTAGAAATGCAGTAAATGGTAGATGTTGTTTGATTGAAGCAAGTGATAGTATTCATGAAGAGAGAGATGACTAATTTTGGACACTATGAGTAAAATATATATGATAAATCATGCATTAATGCCTGTTTTTTTTTATTATTATTCCATATGTATTGATGTCATGACATTTTTCTTCTTAAATTACTAATCTTTAACAAGTCCTAAGTTCCATCAAAAAAATAAAAGTTTGATTATACATAATGCCATATTAAACCATTGTTTTGATTGTTTTTCTTTTGTATCTTTATTTAACAATTCTCGTCACATTAAATTAAATTCAACAATGTGATATTAAATATGCATTTAAATTTAAATTCAACAATGTGAGAGATATCCGTAGCCTTGGTATTGTATAAGTTTTATTTTACTGTTAACTAATTATAAATAATTATTGTTTTGATTTTTAAGATAGTTAATATAAAATGAAAAAATATATACAATAGTATTATTAGATAACGTTATAATAATCTTTAATATTGACAATAGTTATGTTATTTTAATATATGTATATTAATTTTAAACTTAAATATGCTTTTAGTTTTTGAAAAAAAGGAGAGTTTTGATTTAGTTTTTTATTTAATTTTTTTCTCATTTTCTAAAATTTGAAAAATTTATTTTAATTTTTATAAAATGAGTAAATTATAGTTTTAATTTCTCTATATTTTCTTTAGATTTTATCTTTTTAAAAATTTGTATTTGGTCCGTAATGTTTATTCGAGGACATATAAATAATGTTTATTTTAAGATATATAAATGATGTTTATTTTAAAATATATAAACAATATTTATTTTAAAAATATTAAAATTTGGAAATATCGTATGTATGTTGACATTAAATTACAAACACTAGTGGATATAACATGATACTAGGGATGAAAACAAATTTCAGTTTTACATCATAAAAAGATAAAGATTTTTTTATACTAAAATTGTATTTTTGTTGAGGTTTGTGAAAAGTTATTGGTACATGCGAGTTTGACATTTGGATCTATTGATCAATATTTAGGGTTTAATTTTCTATGGCTATCAAATTGTAGCTAAAAGCAATAATTTATTTTAAAATGAGATTGTTAAAAGTAACATTTGTTTTTTAACCGTTTATGAAAATTTAGCTTCCAAATGTTAATGTTATTTTAATACACTACGAATTTGGCGTACGTAAGTCCAGAAGAATTGCGTTAGTTCATTTTTTAATTGTGGCAAAAAATATATTTAGGACTTTTTATAGCAAGTAACCTAAATTTTTTTGTTGAAATAAAGCACTTAAATAAATCATACAGTGTAAAATACTATATTTATGATTAAATGTTCATGCTTGTTGTGCCTTCAAAATATAACAGAGGGTGGATTTAGATGGCAAAAAAAGGTGAATAATAAATTTATATTGGGGAGTTACGTATGAAATGGTTAATCATGTTAATCGATTGTAAAATGGATAAAGAATTACAATTCATTCATTGAACCATTCCCACTCGTGGAGTCGTGTATTGCTGCGATTCTTCTTTATAATTGACTAGACTACATAATTCAAAGAAGACTTTACGCTAACTTCAACAAAATTTAAAAGTCACTAAAAATATAAAAACTAAAAAAAATTGAAGTTAAATTTTATTTTATAATTTCTAAGTCAAATTTATTCAATAGTGAGTTCCTGATAACAGGAATTTTTGTTTTCTTAAAAGAGAGAGAAAGGAACAGAGGCAAAGAAGTTGCTAAATTGACAGTTTTTCACAATTGTTAGAATAAAGTTATTTTATTTTAGATTTTCTTTTCTTAAAATTTTGTTTGACTAGCCTTTTTTTTTAAATAAAAATAAAAAACTGAGTCAAATATTACCTAAGCTTCAGTGATATGAAATAAATGAAAAGGAAAATAAAGGAATGCAAAGTCTTGAAAAGGAAAATAAAGGAATACAAAGTCTTGAAATTATATATGCTTATTGAAAATATGCATATTCATCTTGAACTTGAGACTAAAAATGGGTTGACAGAAATTAATAGAATGAAAGAGTGTGTTGTTGTAATAATTTTTCTCTTGAAAATCATTTTAAGTGATTTTCAAAATCAATTTAATTCACATATTTTTCTCAAATTTAAAACGAACGTGCATATTATTGGATACTTTAACATAATGTAAATTAGATACGATCTTGAGAAAAAGTGAAAACCATTCCCTCAAAAGTGCTCATAATTGACACAAATACCAAAATATCATTTGTGTGAGAAAAAGATGAATAACCACAAGTTGACACTGACTTGACAGAGTGTTGGGCAGTTGCACTATAATCATAACAAAAATACTATTAACACTCTTATTTTTTATTCTGAATTTTCAAAATTAAGAGTTTGAGATTTTCAGAAGTTAAACCAAACATATTATATGCCAGATTTATCTCTTCGACTATGTTTCTCAAAAGTAGTTGATAATTAAGGGATATTTTGTTGATCATTTCAATTTGGTTTCCTATATTTAATATGGTTTGTGGTAACATACAAATTAATGAAAAGAAATATTAGTTATAACAATTAAAAGAAATTAGATTCAAATAAAAACTGGTCGAATTTTTATTTATTTCAAGGTGTTATTAAGAAAGGAGTTTTGTTTTAAATAATATTTTGGTAGTTATAAAGAACTCTTAAGAATTTTTTAGTTATTTGTTTTCGTTTTTTTATATCATTAGTCTATATTTATATTAAGTGAATTGTCACTACTACAAAATATACTTTCAACGTCACTGTTTAACGTCGGTTAAATTTGAGCCGACGTTGAATACACTTTCAACGTCGGTTGTTTATCAACCGATGTTGAAAGTTGAAACCTGACACATTTTACGTCGTTTTAGCATGCTCGACGTGGAAAGTAGGCTTTCGACGTCGGTTATATCCTCAACCGACATTGAAAACCCTTCTGCAAAGGCTTTCAACGTCGAGTGTGGGTATAACCGACGTGGAAAACCCATTTTCCCATTTGAAAAGGATACATCTCTAATATTTCTGTATCTCCCCTTACTCTCCAGCATCGCAGCCACCACCTACCACCCTCATTTGGACTCTCCGAACGCCCTCCCTCACGTCGCCACCGCGCACCCTAGAGCGCGTGACACCCCCGCCGGAGCCTCCACCTCCACCCCACTGCAACTTCCACCCCACCGCGACGGTAGGCGCCGCATTGTCCACCGCAGACTCTAGCCGCACTGTAGCCTCCACCTCCACCCTACTGCAGCCTCCACCCCCACCCCACCCCACCACAACCTCCACCCCACCGCACCCTCCAGCCCACCGCGACGCTAGTCGCCCAACCTCCACCCCCACTGCAGCCTCCACCCGCATTGCATCGTCCACCTCCAGCCCACCACAACCTCGACCCTAATGCAGCACTGCATCCTCCACCTCCACCCCACTGCAGCGTCGACCCTAACGCTGCTCTCTTTCTCTGTGGTGCGCACTTTCATTGCTGCCTTAACCCACAGGTACGATGTTCTTGCACTTATATTTGTTGGGCAAAAAGTTTAAGTAATAAAATTTTACTTACTACAATTCATAGGTAGAGATTCTTAGTCATATTATTGTTGGCCGTTAACTGTTGATTCAATTGTTTATATGTTTTGTCCCCATAAAATAGTGATTGGATGTAAGCTTCAGCTCATTCCAGTGGAACTCTCAAGTGAAGACAAATAATGATACAGTTTTAAAATTAAGATGAATATAGTTTTTTTCAATGTATTGATGATGTGTACAATTATACTTGGACTGCTTGAATATGTCCATGGGACTTTTTATTGGCA